TTAATTCAGAGTGAGTCAAGTCAATTTAGTAATTTAATATTTTTATTTTAAAATATTACTCGATAAACCTCAAGGGATGATACAGATAGTAATTGAGCTTTATCAAACGATCGAATCACAAGGTTGAAAGTTCTTTGGTTCGATTTCCAGATAAAATATTTTGGGATCAGTAACAAAAATCTTGCACTCTATGGCTTAAAAAGATTAATTTCAACAAACGGATGGACGCCTTGGAAAAAAATAATACTGGAGTAATTATATGATATGTGAAGGATTTATTTTCCTTTACTCTTTATGATGTAAATTAATATTTTTTTTGTAAAAAAATTTACTTATTATTTTTTAAAATTTAAACTACACTAAAGGGGGAAAAAAGTGACGAAGTAAGTAAATAAAGTTTTTAAGTATAAAAAACATGAAGATTTTTTTTTAAAAAAAATAGACTATTTAAGCTAATGTGTTGGCCCATTCAGTTGATGACTTATAAGCGCATTTGTTAGGCTAATAATTTGCTTGGCAACAGCAAACAGCACATTGAGCTTGGTTCGAAAGTTTTTAAATTATTGCATGTTAATTTGAATTAACACATGTAGAAATGACCATTTTCAAAGGAACAAACATTCTTAATGAAAGCGAGAAAAATTCTCATTTCATTTTTATCCAAATCTAAGTATAAAAAATGACTTAACTTATTTAATCTCAGAGTCAATATGTATATTTTCGTTCCTAATTAACTTAAATTGATTTACACCCCTTTTGTCCTAAATATGTCCGGATTAAACTTATTTAACATAAAAAATATAATATTTTTAATATTTTTATTTAATTGTAACGTAATGAACATAAAAAATGGAATGATCATTTTATTTCTCCAAATTTAGAAATAAACATATTCCGTTTTATTTTCAATCTCATTCTCGTTTCTCTTCATTTTCCATAAAAAGCATTCCCTCAAATTAAATATGAACCAATTCAATCAAGTTGTACCGTATTATTCTTTTTTTCTTTTTTGATAAGCTGTACCGTATTATTCTTATTCGTTTAACAGTGAGATATTATTCCATTAGTGTTCACATGAGTATAGATTTTCGTCTTTTCGATAGTCTTAAAGGCGCACTCTTCATAATATATTTAAGATACAGCAGTCTTAATCTCGAATATAAAAATTAAGGTAGAAAGCATACAGACATCCTCATCCTCAACCATGAGAGAATTTATGGTGGACCGGGACCACCATTTTTTAGGTGGTCCCCTAGTATAAATGGGAGGGTAAAATTGAAAAAGAAGAAAAATAACAAGGGTAAAAAGGGAAAGAAAAAATTAGTGTTGTGAGAGGGAGCACCAAATCATTGGGTGGTCCTGAATCATAATAAATATTTCCGTCAACCATAACATTAACTTCCTATGATTAATTGAATTTATTTAACTCCTTTTCAATCAATTATAAGAAAACGAGTCAGTATTTATATGGATACCATGTAAAGAATCTTGGGATACACCACCCCAAAAGCTAGCTCAAAGAGTGAAAGTACCCAAGGCCTTATAAACTTCACATTAGTTGTTCTTCAACCAATGTTGGACTATATATCTCAACATTGACTTTTGTTAAAAAAAATGACAATGATGTGGGGATGATGATCATGATAGTTAAAAGTCTGATTTAAATATGCGCTTTTATGCTTTTATAATTTTTTTTAATCAAAACAATTTTATCAAGATTCCAAACGTTTTTACATTTTTTATGATTTTTTTTTACGTTAAAATTTTATACGATATTTTATTCTTCTTCCTAATTTAGGTAAAATCTTCATTATTTTTTTTTTTATAAGTAAAATCTTCATTTTAACTACCATTAAGGACGTGAACAAATAGTCATTGTAATAGTGGGAAATAATTTATAATAGTAGATTTTTGTATATCAAACACTGTAATTGATTGGGTTGTTTTATTAATTAATTATTAATTTTCAATAAAATATATAAAAAGTAATGGTTAAGAATGAGTATAAAATTTAATATATATATATATATATATATATATATATATATATTTTTGGAAATTTAATATTTTTATACCGCTTTAAAAAATTCCTACCACTTATAATAATAAGGAAAATATTTTCAGCATTGGTACAATGCTCAACAACGAGATAAATTGTAGCGTCTTCTTACATTGGATTCGCTTTTTCTTTCAACAGATCAATTATCGGGTGCTTTTACGGAACAGATCCATAAAATCAGACGAGCGTACATTGGTGAGGCCATGACAACTATACGCGGCAAGTCCCACCAAGCATCAGGCCTAGCAAGCCATTAAAAGTGGCCCAACAACGTCATAGCAAAGACTCATAAAACCAGGTATTTGGTAACTCCCATGCGGTTCGATCCAAATTCACGAGCGAAGTTACTGTGGTTTGGGAGAAAAAAAAATTAAGAGGGATTGAGGTGAGAGAAAAAAATAAAAGATTGAAAAGAGAAAAAAAAAATTAATACAGGTGTTAATTTTTAAATGAAATAACCATGATGGTCCTGGAGCATATTAAAATTTTTCCAAAATCAGACTGCACAATTTTAGCGGATTTATTCAACTACAGACAATTAATTTTTTTTTATTTACTGTTTTATGTAATCAAATAATAATGAAACCATTTATATAATATAAAATTTTTAATTATGATTAGTTTCATTTTTTTAAATAATCAATATAATTATTAATACACATACAGCAATAACGTAAAAAATGTATAATTTTTTTTTTAAGTTTTACATTTATCATGTTACAAGACAAAAAATATATTCATACGGACATATACAAAAAGAGAGAGAAAGTAAAATGATGAATGAGAAAAAAAATCATGTGGGCCCTACATCTTAAATGTGTGTGTGGGATCATCTTTCCGGGTCATGTAACATGATAAATATAAAATCTTTTTTTTTACACGAATAAATTCTATTTTTCATGAGCTGATATGAGTTTCGTTCCTTGCTAACTAGACGTGTAACGAAATGGGTCAGATGACTTGTCAAAGCCTGCAGCTTAGCCTGTTTTTGGCCTATTTCGTTTTAAAAACATTTTAGACTTGAGCTCATTAAAAGACTTGTTTAGAAATAAGTCACAAGCCGATTTTAGCAAGCTTGGTCTCTAAGCCTCAAGTCCGACTCGTATTTTTCAATACATTATATATTTTTTATTTGTAATAACAATATCTTATTATTTTTTAATAAATTAATATATTATTATTTTTTAATGAAATTATATCATATGGTTTTTTAATTTTTCGCAATCTTTCCTCTTTTCACCTGATAAATACATATTTTCTTAACCTCAATTCCTTTGTTGTCGCGGCCATCGCTCTTCTCTTTTCCTTCATTTGCCAAATTTCATTACTCTTCTGCCCCTTTCTCAACTTGTCTTTCCTTCCAAACCATCCATCTCTCTCCATTGACTTTCATAGTTGATAGTAAGTCCTCATTCTTTATACTATTTGTTCTTTTTTTGTCTCGTTGGCAAAATTGCTTCTTTCTAAAAAAATTATCAAAAAAATATATATTATTTGACTTACGGGTGAGAGTGTAAATGAGTTGAGTTGAGCCAAACTTTAATTTAAACAAGAAGAGCCTATGAAAAATATTTTGAGCTTGGGTTAACTCATTAGCTTGCTACGACTTAAATTCTAGGCTTGACTTTGCTTGTTTATAAAAAATTAAGGGTTTGGCTTGAGCTTGACTTAGGTCATTTAGAATAATAAAATGTATTTTTTTCAAACACACATACGTCCAAATGTTGAAACTATAAAAATATCAAATTATGTATTCCTTCATCAGATAAAAAACAATTATAAAACTCATTCAGTCCATATATATTTTAAGATCGAATAATGAGTTTCGCAATTTTTTCTTAAACATTGATCAAACTCGTGAAATAGAGAATGTGGGGGAAGAATATTTTAAGAAAAATATGTAATATAAACTAACCTTTAAAATTTCTTCTTAAACTTGCGACGACTTCACCGTTAATAGAATAAGTTATCGAGACTCTAAAGCTTATTATATTATAATCTTCAAAGAAGAATAGAGAAAGAGTATTTGAGTTTGGTTAGTTACTTATGTAGTCAAAGACAATAGTAAAAAATTAGGGTTAGAAATACAGGATTAATGAATTAGTGACATAAAAATATATTATTTATTATAATAATGTACTGGGCTAGCTCATGGACTTTCGAGACAAGCCTCGTTAAATCAGGCTTGTGCTTGTTTGCTAAACAAGTTTTTTTTAAAAGCTTGAACCTGTTCTATCTATTAAACAAGCCAGAGCAAGCCAAGCTTAAAGCAAGTTAAATCCTGGGCCCTTGACAAATAACTCGGCTCATTTATATCCCTACTAACGGATGTTTTATGCATCTATATATCTTGTAAGCATTCTACTTTTTTATCATTTTTTTTGTTTTTATTTCCAACAATATATTTAAATTGTTAATATTTTGGATTATTGTATGCATAAAAACATATATATTTCACAAAGTTAAATACACAAAAAAAAAAAAAAAAAATGATAACCTATATTTTAGGGATTGCAACATGTCATTTTTAAAGATTTGATAAGTCAAATCAAACATTATATTTTGTAAAAATAAGTCAAATTAAATTTATAATTTGACTTTTATAAAACTAATAAGTCGACAAACTTAAAATAATTTACACCACCCTAGCCGATTTAACTCAGTTAGATTAAAATCTTACTTGCTCCGAGTCATTTGCACGCCTGTTGCTGACTAACCTGTCGCGAAAACACTTTACCTCGTTTTGTGGACAGTGAGCTACTCTTCAATGCTTAATCCAAACCCTTTTTCCATTTGGCATTTGGGTATCCTGATTCCTAGTACTATTCTCAGTCTCCAGACTCTCCACTACCATCATCTCAGCTAACCATTGTAGCCATCTCTTTCACATTTCACACCGTAACATAACCCAGTTGTGAGTCTCTCACATTGCTCCTTTGCTTTTACTTCCTACGAAACCCATTTTCCCAAGCAGCACATCTTCTTATGGATTCCTTAATTCTTTGCTGTTCCCTGCTACTGTTTACTCCTGCAGGTAAAAACACTGTCTTTGTTTTTCTTTTTTCTTTTTTCTTTTCTTACAATACTAGATTTTGGTCTGGCTTATAATATAACATACATATGTCAGGTGTTATGGGTGCTATGTTTACATTTGTAAACAAATGCGACTACACAGTGTGGCCAGGTATTCTTGCTAATGCGGGTACCCCAATGCTTGACACCACTGGCTTCGAGCTTCCAAAGGATACTTCCAGGTCATTTCAAGCTCCCACCGGCTGGTCCGGTCGATTCTGGGGCCGAACCGGTTGCAATTTCGACGGATCCGGTTCCGGATCCTGTCTCACTGGCGACTGCGGCTCCGGCCACCTCGAATGCGACGGTGCCGGAGCATCCCCTCCGGTTACGCTAGCTGAGTTCACGCTTGGCACCGTCGGCCAAGACTTTTACGACGTCAGCCTCGTGGATGGCTACAATCTTCCCATGATCGTTGAAGGAACCGGCGGGTCGGGTCTCTGCGCTTCAACCGGGTGCACATCGGATCTCAGCTTGCAATGCCCATCGGAGTTGAAAACCGGGGACGGAAGCGCGTGCAAGAGCGCGTGTGAAGCCTTTGGTAGCCCTGAATATTGCTGCAGCGGCACGTATAGTTCGCCGGCGACGTGTAGGCCCTCCGTGTACTCGGAAATTTTCAAGTCTGCTTGCCCCAGTTCGTATAGTTACGCTTATGATGATGCTTCCAGTACCTTTACTTGTTCTGCTGCTGATTACACTATCACCTTCTGTCCATCCTCTCCCAGGTAAAAACGCTAACTTTCTTTGTTCTTTTTTTTTTTTAACTCTATTTCTCCTAGTACTATTTCGGAAGCATTCTTGATTATGTGTTTTTTTTTTTAACTCGTTGTAAGATGGCTTTATGCTTTATTATGTGTTATTATGGATCTCTAAAAAAAAAAAAAAAACTGCAACTTGTGACCATATTATTGCAATTTTTTATTTTTTGTAAAATTCTTCCAGTGTGCCACTGCCACTCAGAGTGGTAGGTGGTTGCTTCATATGGCCAAAGTTAAACTTTTTAATGCTTCTGTTTTAATAAGTTAATTGTTTGTTGCAATAATATTAATGGTTTGGTGGGTTTGCTTTTTATGGTGATGAATTTCGTCACTAACAAATCAGAATCATAAAAAAAAAAAAAAATTACCAACCATATTTGTCAGGAATGAGAAAAATGCTTTATTTATTTTTTACTGATAATAAAGAAATTGAGGATTGGCTAAATGTATGATTTTGCAGTCAGAAATCTTCAAGAGATACAAATCCAACGAGTTCAACAACATCACAACAAGGGTCAGGGACAAGTGGATCCGCGGGTACGGAACAGGGTGTTGGGTACTCGGTTGATGGGTATGGTTCAGGGTCGGGTTCAGGATCTGGAGATGCCATGCTAGCAGATGGGTCATATTTAGCCGGTTTGGCCATGGGAGACTCTCCCAGGATGTTCTCCTTCTCCATGTTCGTCTTCTCTGTTAGCTTTTTGCTTGTTGTCTCCTTGTTATAGCTGCACTACCGTAGTACCATTCTCATCATCATCATAGATTCATAGCTTTTGCTTGCTATATGATCAATGGGTAGAGGATTTTGTGGGTTTAATGGGTTCATGAATTTTGGCTTTGCCAGTTAAGCTGGCAGATTCTTCCTCCTCCCAAAACACCCACTTTGAGATTGTTAAAAAAAAAAAAAAAAAAAAAAAATCATGTGTAATACGTAAATTGTTTGTTTTGATTTAAATTATATATATTTTTTAAATTAATATGTTTTACACTTTAATTATTTTAAAAATAGTGAGTTTCTTAAAAAGTAATTTTATTTTTATGTTTTTTATAATTCTAAACATGACTAATTTTGAATTTTAAAAGATAAAATAAAAAATTTGGGTCAAATTTTAAAGTTGATACTATGACTCTATGAGTGTTGACAATTTAATATTATTTTTTAAAATCTAAAATCAATAATAAGTATTTAAAATTGTTGCATGTAAAATTCATGACAAGTACATAGAAAGAAAAAAATACTTTTGAAAAATTGGTTATAGTTGTTAATTAACGTTAAGAAAACCGTTTATATTAACGGAAATAATACTCTCCTGCTACAAGATAGTAAAAATTTTTTCTACACAAATTCATTTTTCGTGTTAATTAATTTTTTTTTAATATTAAATATGAGACCCACATTTAACTTGTCTCTTTTTTTTCTCTCTTACTGTTTTACAACGTAAGAAAACTTGAACTCTTATATTAAAATCAATTAAAGATAAAAAAAATTTCTTTAAAAGAAGAAGAGTGTAATATGTTAAAGAAAAAAAAAACTACATAATTGATTATAAAACATTTATTCTAAAAAGGCAACGTAATTTATCTTTGCATTTGATTTATGAGAAATAATACTCTCATGCCACATGAGATACTCTCATTTTCCTACGTAAATTTGTTTTTCGTGTCAAATAATTTTTCTTTTCTTTTTTAATATAAAATATGGGACCTACATTTAACTTCTCTCTATTTTTTTTCTCTTCTACAATCCTACACCATAACATAAGAAAAGTTAAACCTTGATTTATTTATCTCTCCATCAAAGTTTTTCGGAGTTCTATGATAGTGCGGGGTTTATAAAGTAAATAGCAAACATATTTCAGCAATTTTGGGTTGGCTTTGTTGGTTTCACTTCACATGTAGAATAACAAAATAATTGTTTGTGCTTGGGGCGTGGCTTTATTTTGGTTTCTCAGAAAAGAGAGGAGAGAGAGAGAGAGGAAGGTTTCAAAAAGAAGGTGATGGACCCTCTGCAAAGAGTACTATTTTGGTTGCACTAAAACAAAAAAAAGGGTACTATTTTGTGTCTGGAGGTAGGGTTCACTTTGCGGGTAAGACAAGTAGTTTGCTTGACTTTTGCCCGTTGTTTGTTATCAAAAGAAGGAATTTTGAGCAGCATTTGCTGTGAGATAATCATATAAATAGAACTTGTGGCTGTGGGTGGAAAACAGAAAAGGGGAAATTGAGACGATGCTACAGTTTGCATAGCAAAATCTTTAATCTTTAGTTTCAATATAAATCTCGAACGCTCTAATACAAACGTAAATTCCCGTATCTTATTTTTTATTTTTCTCCAAAAATAAAATTGCATTCTTGTTGTTTCTCTCCGGCTAACCAAAATATGTTTTTAATGAGTTTTACTCTTTTTATTTTAGTTAATGTTCACTCACGAAGTTAGTTAAATAGAGTTAGACTTCATAATTTTTTATTTTCAAGATTAAAGTCAATAAAAAGATTATATGTCTTGTTGAAAGCTAAACCATTCTTGATTTCTTGTCAAATTTTTAATTGGTGTTGTAATCAAAGGTGTTAAAACTTTTCTTCAGCAATTCTCAAAAAGAAGAATCATGTCGTCCAAATGCTGCAATAGAAGGGGACCACCAATCTTAATCTACATGACTTTAATGCCGGTTTGAGATTTTCCGGGGTTTTTTATTAGGTTAAAACTTGAATAAGCTTTATTACTCTTCAATCCTCTTTCTTGGTACAGATCTTTTAAGGTTATTACACAATAATTAAGAAAGTAATTAAATGAATTATTTAGCTTTTAAAAATATAATATGAATATAGAATGGAATTAGGTGAACTCTATCCCACTTAATTACCCCATTTTTCTTCCCTCTCCCTTAGAAATTAGAGGCATCAGATAGAACAATTTTATGAAACTTCATTTTTTATTTTTATTTTTCACTAGAACTTTCAAAGTTAAGAAAAAAAAATTGTTATCTCGTTCATCTTTACTAAAACTTCCAAAGAATTATTATTTTTTCTATCACAAAGTATCCAAACAAGGATATAGTAACTTTGTTCTATTCCATCTTTTTCATTATTATTCTACTGCCACCCTTCCATTATATTTTATTACTCTATATACCATTTCATTCCATTTATCACAATATCTAAACAAAGTCTAAATGGATGTCACAGGAATCTGTTATAAAAGAACCAGCTTCTGTACAAGATATTTTAAGTTTTTAATGTAAAAGTATATAACTATAATAATTTGCAAGAATCTTTTTCCTTTACTTGGGGTACTCATGTTTGTGGTGCTCGTTTAGTTTGTCACACATTTTATTTTGCTTGAAATTCAACCTCCTTTACTCTTTTTTTCTTCAATTTCTGGCAGAATTAAGGATGTATTCGGCAACGTGAAAAGCATGTGGGGGGTGGGGGGTCCTTCATTATCATCGTTAATAAGATTCTCGAATAGAACTGATACCAAAATTCCACATATATTCCCGTCCAATTTTCTTGAATTTTAAGCTTTAAGTCTAGGTTTTCCTCAGTGAATTTCTCTGAAGAAATGAAAAGAACAATTGACATTGTTTAAAATTTTATTTATAAAGGATGTTAATATATGATTATTCAATTATACGTGCATTAATTGGATTTGTTGCCTTGTCATGCGATTATTCTTTTGATCTAAATTTCAGAAATACACATGACATTCTCGATGGGCGTTCTATGCTCAATTGTGGCCCAACTCACCATGACACTTTTCACACCTATTTTACTGATTCCCCCGATAACTATATGAAGTTATGCACCCACACCACACGCCTTATGTGGCTATAGTATGCATAGCAAATTATCAGTCCTCATCTTGGGATTGAACATCTCACTGCATCTACTACATTACAATAGGAATTTGGATTGTCTACTGATCTTTGCCCTTACCCTTCAGTTATGAGAGAAAGATAAAAAAAGAACTATCATAATTGGATCCCCTGTTATTCACGTAGAGTGTATTTGTTTTTAAGTCTGTCTCTCATAATAACACAAGAGCATGTTAGAAAGTGTGGATGGAGTAGTAGAATTTTGAAGAAGATACCTTGATTTAAGCATTCTACGATGGATATGCAGATTTGACATTAACACATGCATCCAAACATCTATGATGCTGATAATAGCATTTGAATTTGAAACTGAAGTTTCTAGTGAAGTTAAGCAGCTTCCCAAATAAAATAGAGAGTCAGAGTGTAATAGTGAAATGTCTAGTTTCTTCACCCCGACAGAGAGAGAAGGTTGAATTTGTAGTCCTGTTGCCGTACTTGGCATTAATTCTGTATTCTCCTAAGAACCCATAAAAGCTATAAGAACCGTGATTATCAGTCACTCCCTCTACACGACCAGTTTGCCACTCCTCAAGAAGTTTGTCCACCACATCACCTGATGGGAGGTTCTTGAAATCATTGTCTGTGAGGCACATTTGGTAGCACCCTTTTGGATGGAATGCGGTCCAAAGCATTATTCCATTCACCGAAGGATGTGAGAAGCTTTCCCTCAACACTTCTTCCAAATAAATTGCCTACATAAAGAAAGCCAAAGAAAAGAGATTAAATTAAGCAAATAGCAACTAATTTTATTTTTTGTTATTATTTATTTATCTAGAACTTGAGTTGCTAGTTGCTCTAGCTCACCTGAGTTTCTTTATCAAGTGTTTTGCTTATGTCAACTTCAGTAAGCCAAATGGGAAGGCCAAGTGTTGCCAACTTGTCTAGGATAGCTCTGATAAGGGGAGGATTTGGTATTGTGAAGTGACCCTCCAAGCCAATTCCATCCATAAAGACACCATTTTGTTGTAGTTCTCTTATCCGTGAGATGTAGGCGTCAACAGTGGAATTTACATCACTGCATGTTTCCACAACATTAAAATCATTCATGAACAGGGTTGCTAATGGGTCTGATTTATGTGCTGTCTCAAAGAAATGCAATGTGGCATCAGGTCCAAGCCTTTGTTCATAGAAATCAAAATGAAGCATTTCATTGCTAACATCCCAATGTATGAATTCTTCTTTGTATTGGCTCATGAGACTTTGTATTCGGGAATTAACAGCAGATCTTAACTGGATGCCAGTAAGGTTAAGAACCCATGCCGGAGTATATTTAGGGTCTTCCCAGAATATATTGTGCCCTCTAGCTATGATTTTGTTTGCTCTAACAAATTGCATCATCTGATCCGAAATGGTGTAATTGACCTTGCCTTGATCAGGCTCTGTGGCGTACCACTTGAGCTCATTCTCAAAGACTGCAGCATTGAACCGCTTCACAAACCAATTCTGTACGGAAAGAGAGGAGTGAGGCTGCATGTGTTACTTTTTGTATGCTGTGGATTATGATAGTGGGGTACATAAAAAAATACAAACCTGATAGGGCAAGTTGCCAAGAATGGTCTTTGCTATTGCAGATCCAATAGGGAAGTCTTTTGAGATTTGCTCTATACAGATTGCTGCTCCTTGCAATCTACTTCCATTAGTATCTGACACATGAACAGTGACGGCACGCTTTCTTTGCTATCAAATGCAAGAGGAAAACAAAGTTAAATTCTTCTTCCCTCTGCTCTATAGCACATACATGACACATCCCTTTTCTTTATAAACTTGGTTTTCTTCCTACTTTTATTGTGAGGAAGTCTATGCAACACCATCCTTTTTAATCCGGTTAGTTTTGTTTTGTTACTTGAAGGTGGTTTACTTGTGCTCACCGTATTAATTATATACTGTTGATTGGTTCTCCATTGCTGCTTGGTAAATGGTTGCAGTGATGGGCTAGCTATATCTATATTGATATCTTTACCATCCCCGTTCTGCATAAATTACCAAACTCAAATAAACAAAACCAAATATATATATCTTGAAGCAAATGACTAAGCTGAAAAGCTATTTTACTACTGAATAAAATAGGGAAGAAAAGCAAGCTACCTCAAAGGAGATTATAGATAAATTTGAAGGCAAATTGAGAACAAATCCACCCTTCAGAAATGACCAGCATCCACGCTTGGCTGCAACTGTCCCAATGCACTCATATTTTTCTTTTTCCGTTTGCAAGCTTGCCCTTATCATAGCTGAACTTGAACTTTCGACTCTCACCCATACTGTAATATAATATATAATCAGGTACCCGCATCATATGTTCGTTACAATATGTAACAACTATTCAATAATAGGAACCTAATTCTAACCATTTCAAAGGTAAACATGCTTTGATGAATGAACAAGATTGATTTAGATTTGATCATAAAAAAAAATGTGGTTAGGAAATTAGATTAACTGTATTTCAACTCAAAGCATGTCAACAATCCGTTGTAGTCTAGTTGGTCAGGATATTCGGCTCTCACCCGAAAGACCCGGGTTCAAGTCCCGGCAACGGAACTTTTTTTTTTTTTTTTTTTACTTTTTTATAAGTAGGACCAAAAGAATATAATCACTTTTACAATTACTAAGATGAAAATGTTGACGAAACAGAAAGGATAAAGAACACAACTCAACTGGAAAAAGTGTAGATGGTGCCGTCAGTGAGATTATTCAGAACGAGTGAGGGCATATCGGAGACAATGCTGCTATCTTCCGAACCATCTCGAGACAGAGACTCACTCTTGAAAACTCCTCCTCCGTAGAGTGGCTTCTCAGGGTGCTCTTTGCACTGTCAACCACACAAGTCATATCTTTCGTCAAGAACTAGAAATAAAAACCCACTGACATAAAAACTTACAGGTTTAATCCCAGTTCAATGTTGAAATGCAATTATTTTAATTACCTCAGTGTACGCAGTGGACTCATATAGGGGTCCATCTGCAACAAAAGAATGGAAAACTAATGAAATATTGAGAACATTATTAATTTAAGAATTGCATCTTAAAATAAATTAACCAGGGAAGGGAGTAGGAATAAGAACCATATAAAGAAGAAACCAAAGAAGCCCCTGATAGAAGGAAGAAAGCTATAAGGCTACGTAAAGGAATATCTTGCATCCTGGGACTAGAAAATCGGAGCTGGTCACTCTCCTACTGATGAGAAACAAAACTGTTTTAAAACTGTGAAAGGAATTGTTTGGCATAAATACAAATGCCCGTGTTAGTGCTGTCTCCGAGAAAACACGACAGAGAGAGAAGGAGAGACGACAAAAAATGATTGTATTTAACGTTAATGGGGATTGTGGAGGTGTGATATCACAAGGGAACTGTGGACCTGTGAGGAAGCCCGTGCTCTTATGCTCTTCACATGCTCTGCGAAAGAGAACTTCATGCCACTGTTAATTGAGTGACCATTATTTATATACAGCATGCGCCTCACTCTATAATGGTTTGCAGTTGGCAAGTTTTACCATTCAGGCTCCAGCTGCATCATTAATTACCAATTTACCAACCATTGACTCTCTTCTCTTGCAACGTTTATTGATGATAGTAATAAATTTGTCCTAGTCATTTCAACGTCCCCAGTATATATATCTTGTTCTCTAATTTGGACTTATGGATCCTCGTCTAATCTTTAGTATCCTACTCTCTAGTTTTTTTTGTTAATTACAAAATTAACTTCTGCACACTTTTTAGACCACATTTTACGCCACTTAATTTGCACGGATCATTAGTTCGCGAACAAAATATTAACGCAAAAGTCAGATAAGCAAACAGCATGCCCTTTCATATTTGGGTCATATTTGCACTTTCAAGTACAAAAAGGACAATGACATAATGCAAATAATTGACTAATGAATGGAAAATTACTGTTAGAGAATTAATAAGAACCCAAACAATCTCAATTGCCAGCAAATATTATTATCTTTCTTGTATTTACTAGCTCAACTATTCTATTAAAAACATGGAATCTACAATAATTGATTGTTTAAACCACAGAAACCCTATTTATTAATCACCAGCTCAGGACGAAAGCAGGTCATCCAATTTTGGAATAAGTTGTTGGGTGAATTTAAATTTAGGTCGATGCTATAAAACTTCATAAAGTCAAGGCTCGAATGGCAGAAAAAACTATCGATTGAATTCCTGTCATAATATTGCAACAGCTCTTGCTTAAGCTTGAAAATTTTGGTTCTCTAAGAAAATTAACATTCCTGTTAAGTAAAAGAAATTCATCATACTCAAAGAGTGCTGCAAAAAACTTCACTTCTGATAAAGAAAGGAAAAGATAAATGAATGTGGCGTGATCTTTCCCAGAATGTTACTACAGGAGATCCCATTACCATCTTCTTATAGGAATCAAGGTAGCTTCGAGGGACCATTGAATACTCATTAGCTAAACCATAGAACTGGCATGCGCTCTTCCTTTTTGGACCATAGGTTGTGGATTAATGTAGAGCTCTCCCCACCCTTTTAAATGCCTCATGTTTCAAGCATGGGCATCAACCAATGAAGACAACACAAATAGGAAAAACCGAAATAAAAGTTTGAGAATAATAAAAACCATTATAAAAAGACCTTCATCCAACTGGATCGAAACGGTTCTTTACATGATTTTAGAGTTTCAGTGAACATAAGATCACGAATTCGATCTTCATTGTTCCCACTAGTGAAATTAAATAAGCATAAGGTAAAAAAAAAAAAAAAAGGAAAACGTCAAAACCCCCTATAACTTTTCTCATAATCATTTACCTCATTCCCAAAATTTTGAATCATTTACCTCCCTGACTTAAAGTTTTTTTATCATTTACCCCCTAAGTGAAGGGGTAAATGATAAAAAAAATTTAAATCAGGGGGTAAGTGATAAAAAAATTTAAATAGGGGGGTAAATGATTCAAAAAATTTGTGAGGGGGCTAAATGATAATTGAGAAAACTCATAGGGGAGTTTTTGAAGTTTTCCCAAAAAAAAAAGACTCTCATCCCTAATCCCTTAAAGTTTTGTTAACAATATGATTTTTTTTTATTTGTTTTTAAGATAACTATATATTTGCCTTTAACTGAACTATGCTCCCTTGTTTGCTGCTTGGTATCAAGTTCTGTGTAAATTTATTGATTTCTCTGGAAAAAACAAAGCATGCCCATCAATATATTCTCTTTTGTTTCTCTATTGGGCTTTCAATGTAGTGTAATCGACCAAATATGCTCCGTGCAACCCAGGGGTGTGCATGGAGCGGTTTGGTTTGGTTATTGTCAAAAACCGAACCAAACCAGTTTTAAACGGTTTGGATTTTAAATCGAACCACTTTTTTTTTAAAAGCGGTTTTTAATTTGTTCAAACCGGTTTCAAAATCAGTTTGTGGTTTCAAAATCAGTTTTAAACCGATTTTAATTCAAAACCGGTTTTAAATAAAAACAAGTTATGAACTACAAATCGGTTATCAAGATTAAAACCAGTTTTATAATATATTTTTTTGAATGAATGGATGCAGATCAATGAATTCATAATGTATTAACTTATAAGCTTCTCATAATGCAGATGTATTAATTCATAATGAATTCATAATATAACAATTAAAAACGGCGTTGTTCCCATCCCATAAGCTTCTCGTGTTGGTCGAAAACCCACTTGTTGAGGCTTCCATTGGGCATAAAATCGTAAACAAGCATTAACTCGTTCCGTTTTCTGCACCAACTCGCAGTTGGACCAAGTTCTTGTGCTGAAGCCTCCCCATGCTAGAAATCTCTGCCATGAATTCTCTTAACCCTTGTTTAGAATCGTGGTTGACGTATTTCACCGCAATTTCCGTCTTGTTTGAGAGTGTCCCTTTATACACTCTTTCGAACCCTCCTGAACCTAGGAGCTTTTCTTTTCCGAAATTCCCAGTGGCCATGTTCAATTCCTCGTAGGAGAATCTATGTGGCCAATACTCAATTTCCCACTCTTCGATCTCATCCTCTTCCTTCTCTTTCATTTTGTTGAAGTGTGGAAGTGGTGAAATTTGGGAATTTGGGAGCTAGGGTTAAAAATCAAAATATTGAATAGGTTAAATCATAAAATGATTAAAAAAAAGGAAAAGTGTTTGTCATTTTAAATGAAATAAAGTTATGTCATTTTAAGAGAGAGATAGACACAAATAAAATATTTTTTATTTAAAAATTAAATTAAAAAAATCCACCCACTTTCTCTCCCCATGATTTCCATTCTTTGTGTCTATCTCTATCTTAAAATGACATAACTTATGTCATTTAAAATGACAAACATTAAACCCTAAAAAAATGGATATAATTTGGTTATCGAGTATATCCAAACCATTTCATAAATGGATAACCAAACCATATTTAAAATTAAAAAGTGGTCGGGGAGATTCCCCTCAGAAAAAGAAAGTGCATCTCGTCTCTTGGAACACTTTGTGCTTGCCGATGAGTGTTGGAGGGCTGGGATTTATAAACCTTCAAACCCAAAATAAGGCTTTTCTTCTGAAGATCCTGTGGCAGATGGTGAATAATAGGGAGGGGCTGTGGGCTCAGGTACTATATGGGAAGTATGGTCGTGAAGCTGACCTGAGAAGGCAAATTCTATCCTCGAATCTTGATTCTAAATTATGGAAAGGATTGTGTTTGGTTTGGTCTGATTTATCTAATTCTCTGCATTGGGACACACATAATGGTCAAGATGTCAGGTTCTGGAATGACTTATGGACCGATTTGGAGAGTCCTTTGAGGGACTTGGTCTGTAGACCTCTTGCCCCCTTTATGGAACAGATGAGGAGTATAGAGATGGTGGATGAGTTGAATGGAGAATGGAATCTCAGGCTCCTAGGCAATTTTCTTCAGGAAGACACTACCTAACATATTCGGTCCTTCTTACCTCCTTCTAGTGATAAGGGCCCTGATAGATTAATTTGGAAAAGCTCCGTGGGGGAAAAGCACATTGTTAGGAAAGCTTATTGTAAACTCATGGGTCATGACAAGCTTTCCCCTGACCCCATTTGGAGGGTTATATGGAAGTGAGACGGACCCTTTAGAGTGAGGAATTTCCTTTGGTTGGCCCTCCACAGTCGTTTGTTGACAAAGACCATGACTGCTAAGTGGGGAGGGACCCCTTTCTGCCACATTTGTGAAGATAAAGTGGAAGATACTGTCCTTGTTCTGAGGGATTGTAAGAATGCTAGGCCCATTTGGAAAGCCTGGCTCACTGGGGGTAGGCAGGATAATTCCTTCTCTTTGAATGCTTCTGAGTGGATCAGAATGAACATAACTATAGGCTGGGTTCACAGGCAAGCATTGAATTGGATGGACATTTTCTCAAGCACTATCTGGCACCTTTGGGTTCGGAGAAACAATGAGGTGCATGATCCTCAGTTTAGCAGACCTTTCTATCCAATTCTCACTATCTCAAACTTTATTGTTGAAAAAAAAGAGGCAATGGGGTGCAAAAAGACTCAGCTCTGTTTTCCGAGATCTGTTGCGAATGAGAGTTGGCAGCCTCCTCCTTTGGGTTGGTGGAAGCTTAATGTAGATGGGGCGGTGAAGACTAGCCATAGCTATGCCACCAGTGGGGGCTTGATTAAAGACGACAGAGGGCAGAGGGCAGTGGGTTAGAGGATTCACTTATAAGATTGGTATATGCAGCTCGATGATGGCGGAGCTGTGGGCTATTCATATCGGCCTCCAGACAGCTTGGGACAGTGGGGCTCATCACCTGATTGTTGAGAGCGACTCAGAGTTGGTAATTGAGGCGCTATCGAATGATGGAAATAGGTACAACATCCAAATGGTAAACTGTATTAAGACGTGGTGCTTGGAGGAATGGGTTGTGCAATTTGTGCAGGTGAGGAGAGGGAGGAACACCAGTGCAGACTGGCTTGCTCATCATGTTGATGCCAATGAGGCTGATCTGGTAATCCTCCAGGATGTACCCCACGGGTTGGGACAGAGACTAGCTCTAGAAGCTAGTGTTTTGTCTCTGTAACTGTTTTTCTTTTGGGCTTTAGCCTCTTTTATATACTAAAAAAAATAAAAATAAAATTAAAAAGTGGATATATTTTTTAACCGGTTTAAAAAAAAACTAATTTTTTAATTTGGTTTAGTTTGATTTTTAATTTGGTTTAGGTTTGAATTTTAATTTGATTTGAACCAATTAGATATTTTGCACATCCCTACTAAAACCCATATAATGAGGGCGAACTAGTGTTGTGAGGAGTTTGTCATGTTGGTCCTTCTGTAAGGACGTAATTAGGGAGGATAGAGAAGAGGGATTTGAAAGGAGAAAGAGGAACTGAGAGAGAGGGAGATAAGACTTTTGACAAATAACTCATGCCATTGAGTGATTGATTTTTCATATTTAAAGGAATTGCAAATCTTAATCTAGAATTCAAATTGCTGAAAGGTAGGAATGTCTTATCCTAAAAATAAGCATTAACAACTAAGTCCTAAAAATAAGTACTGGAATAACAACTTTCTCTAATAAAGCAATTGCTATTTTATTGAAACTAAATTAAATGCTACTAATGGTTGGGCCTGTCATGTGACATAGTCCATTAGACGTGTTGGGGCTTGCCGTTGACGTCTTGGCCTATCCGTGGTGGGCTGATCTGCTACATCCCCTTGGCCATCTAAATTATCCATGTCCTCATGGATGGAGATATTTTGTGATCCGCTAGCATTCAATGTGAGCTGCGTGTCTGGATGTGAGTCAGCCTTATCTTCTGTCCGTTGGGTAGTGTGCATTGGAACGACAGTGGGCAGTGGAGCGGCAGTGTCATTATGATTGAATGGTGTCATAATGTCATGGGATGTTGCGTTTGATGAACGCGTTGGAGATGTATTGGAAACACCGTCAGTCACATTGGATACATCGTCTCCAAACATTGATCTCTCCTCTTCCCAAGTGGAGTCTTCTGGAGCGGAGTCTGACCATTGCACAAGAACCTCCTTGATTTTTTTTCCTCTTCTCCATATTTCTCGGTCGCCAAGTATGGCCACTGCCTGGTGTAGTGGTTTGTTGTCCCTCGTTTGTGTTGGTAACTGGTGGACTTTGTACGGCGTTGCTGAGACGAAGGGTCGGAGGAGGGAAACGTGGAACACTGGGTGAATCTTGGAGGAGTCAGGGAGTTTTAATTTGTACGCAACCGGTCCGAGCTTCTGTAATACCTCAAATGGTCCATAATATCGCAGCGAGAGCTTTTGTGTACTCCGTTTCTGCAAGGATATTTGACGGTATGGCTGTAATTTCAGTAACACTAGATCTCCTTCTTTAAACTCCCATGCCTTTCTTTTCTTGTCACTGTAAGCTTTCATGGATGCATGAGCAGTGTTTAAGTTTTGTTTCAAACTTGTCATTATTTTGTTTCTTCTGGACAGATCTGTGTCGATTGCTTCCAAGTTGCTCGTCCCAAGACAGTACGTTAACAGATTCGGAAGAGGAATACCAAACGTTACTTCAAACGGTGTGAATCCTGTGGATCTATTGAATGATGTATTGAAATGAAACTCTGCAAAGCTTAAGATCCTGGACCATGTTTTTGGGTTATCGTGGACAAATGCTCTCAGGTATTGCTCCAAACATCTATTAACACGTTCTGTTTGTCCGTCGCTTTGCGGGTGATATGCTGAGTTGTACCGCAAGTGAGTACCTTGGAGGGCAAACATTGCGTTCCAGAAGTTGCTAAGAAAAATAGGGTCACGGTCGGAGATGATGGTTTTTGGAAAACCATGGAGTTTGCCGACTGACTCCCAGAATGCGTTTGCAACTTTTACCGCGGTGAAGTTTGCGGTTAAGGGTACGAAATGGCCTCCTTTTGATAACCTGTCCACAATCACAAAGATAACAGTAAAGCCGTTAGAGTTAGGTAAATGGGTAATGAAATCCATGCATAAATCCGTCCAAATGTGTTTGGGGGTGTGATAGGTTGCAGTAGGCCATAGGGGGAGTGATTTTGTGGTTTGATTTTCTGACAAATCTCACACTGTTGGACAAAGTTCTTAACATCTCTCTTCATTCCTTTCCATGTAAATGTTTTGTTCATGCGCAGGTAGGTGTTTTGGATCCCAGAATGTCCTCCTTGCAAGGAACTGTGAAACTCGTGGAGCAACGTGTTCTTCAATGAGGATTTTGCTGGAATGAAGATTCTGCTTTTATGGAAAAGCAAATTTTTTTAAAATTTCCAGTCCTTCCATTCATTTGGTTCTGTAATAATGCCCTGGATGACTGTAATAGTGTAGGCGTCCTCATTTAATTCCTGCTGTAATATGTCTGTGAAGTTGCATGTTGGGCCTGTGATTGTTGCTAGCTGGGAAGAGGGTAAGTTGCTGCCCTCTTCTGGAATTCGGGACAAGGCATCTGCTGCTGCAATTGTTTTGCCTGATTTGTAGACAATGGTGTATGAAAATCCCAAGAGTTGTGACAAGAATTGTTGCTGCTCCGGAGTTTGCACGACTTGGTTCATCAAATGGTAAAGGCTTTTATGATCCGTGCGAATGACAAATGAAGCTCCTAGTAGGTATTGCCTCCATTTAGAAACGCCGCTAGTGATAGCAAACATTTCGCGTATGTAGGTTGACTTCTTTTGCATTGTTGGGGATAATTTTCGGGTGTAATAGGCAATTGGGCGATCATTTTGCATGAGAACAGCACCGATACCAACACCAAAAGCATCCGCCTCTAATATAAAAGGAATTGTGAAATCCGGAAGTATTAAAATAGGTGCTGTAGTGAGTAGTTCTTTCAACTTGTCGAAAGCAGAGTCTTCCTTTGTACCCCAATTAAATCTTGCCTTGGAAGTTAGATCACTTAGAGGAGCAGCTATTGAAGCAAAATTCTTGATGAAACGTCTGTAGTAACCAGCCAAACCTAGGAATGCGCGTACTTGGGTCACAGTTGTGGTTGAGTCCAATTTGTAATTGAACTAATTTTTTCTGGATCAGGGGCCAGTCCTTTCCCTGAAATGATGTGACCTAAAAACTGGATTGT